TATAAGCAGCACCACACTCTAACCAAGTGAGCTAAGTGGCCTGCCCCTGATTTTTTTTTTTCTTTTTTTTAATTTAAAAATATATCCTAGGCAGAGTTACAAGTCAATAAATGCAGTCTTCCAGCATCATTTTGATGATTGCATTGGGTTCCATTGTACATTGGTTATTTAAGATGTTTACAATTTTATGTTATTCACATTTTTCATTATGATTAACGTTGAGCTAACCTGGTATATGCACCTTGTTCAGCTATTTCCTTAAGATAAATTCCTAAAGCAAGATTGGTGTCAAAGCATATGTACTTTCTAAGCTTTTTGACACATCTTTCCAGAATTGCCCTCCAGAAAGCAGAGTCCGTTTTCACTCCCACAGACGTCTGTTGGAGTATCTGCTTCTCCGTCCTCCTGCTGCCGTAGATTCCAGTCATCGGTTTCATGTCTGCCGGTCTGATTGGCATAAAGATGGTGTTTTATTGGTCTTATTTTCATTTCTTTGACTCTAGGTAAGGTCAAACGTCTTTCACATGATGATGGTGATAATAAATAGAATTTTGTTAATAACAGCAGCTACCATTTGTTGAACGCTTACTCTGTGCCAGGTACTTTTCTGAGCACGTTTCATATAGTACCTCATTTAATCCTCAAAACAGCTCTGTGAAGTAGATGCTATTATTGCCCGCATTTTATAGATGAGGAAGCTGAGGCACAGAAAAGTAAAATAATTTGTCCAAGTCACACAGCTAGGAAGCGGCGAGACCGGGATTTGACTCAGTCTGCCTCCGGAGCCTACGTTTTGTTACCACCACGTTACTGGCTGTTTGAGTTGTTTTCTGTGAAGTGCATGTTCATGTTCCTTGTTCATTTTTCTTTATGATGTGTAAGTGTTTTTTATACAGTAAATATATTTACCCTTAATTATATGTAGCAAATATTTTCCTCAGTGTGTAATATTGTTCTTTCAACATTTAAGTTTTATTTTGCTGAAGTGCAAAGATTTATAATTTCTACAGAAGCCCAATCTGTCAACCTTTTTCCTTTATAGATTGTCTTTTGTATCATGCCTCCTCATCCTAATATGGTGGTTATTATATTTTTAGTTGGGGAAATAAACTCAAATATATTTAGATTTATGCGGTATTTTGGATTATGCATATCACTGTTTCTTTTTGTTAGCATAGCTAATCTATATTTTAAAATCATATTTCTTGCAGCATTTCCTTGATTTTTGTCTTTTCCGCCAATCTATTAAATTCTCTGTAGACTGTAAAGCACAAAATGCGTGAAATGTTATGAAAAGGTAGCGCCTGCCATTTGAAGCCCTACAAGTAGCAGGTTAGGGTAACAGCAGTTTGTGAACCTTGCAGCATTTCACTGCCTTGGTCTGTTTAGCTGACAAGCTCTTCTTCCCGTTGTCCCTAGTAGTGTGGTCGTCCTTGACTGGTACAGGTCAGGTTGTGCCGGTTCCCGTCCTCACACGCCCAGGAAGCAAGACTTCATTCACCTAAGTCAGACTATCACNCCGGTTCCCGTCCTCACACGCCCAGGAAGCAAGACTTCATTCACCTAAGTCAGACTATCACATTCTTATTACCCACTTAACCGGATTTCCATAATCAGCCTTTTAACAAGGTAACAGTGGCTGACCAGATCTCAGTCAGCGCATGCCTCAGTCTACTACATGCCCCAGGGGGTTCTGTGCAACGTGTGCAACGTGAGGGACATGGCCTCCCTCAGCGTTCTTTCTATTTTATTTTATTATTTTATTTATTTTATTTTATTTTATTTTATTTTGTCAACCATCCTTGGCACAGACAACACTCACAGGGATGAGTGACTCAAATTACGCCCCAAATGCAGAAACCCCAGGGCATGAAAGACCATGCAGGAACTGAAAGAGTGACATCCCTTTCCTGAAAGAACAGATACACAGAGTTAGAGTAACCTGTGGATCCTGGGGTCAAATCAGATCCTCTCTGGTGCTTGGGTTTTTCTGTGTGATCCCTGATGAGTGTTTGTACACCTTCCTCTTGGAGGGAGGAGGTTTCTTCCCAAGGCAGCCCACTTCTTTTTGGGCAGTTCTAATTATAACATTCTTTCTTATATGACTGAAAATATGTCCTCTTATGACCTCTCTCTGCTGGTCCTAATTTTGTCCCCTCGGACACACAGAGCAAATCCTGTCCCGCTGCTGCATCTGTGACTTTAGACTTTTAAAGATATTTTTTCTGGGCCGGCC